GCTGGAGTGGGTCCAGAAGAGGGAAACCTTGGGGCTTGCCTTGTAGTCTGGCCTCAGACAGCAGAGCTCTGTGGCTAAGAATTCTAAATATTCCTCTCAAAGATGCAAATCACAAGATTCCATAGGCAGTTGGATCATAATAAGAAGCTGAATCATAATAAGAACTGTAACTGTATACCGTATATACTTGACTATAAGTTGACTTCATATATAAGTCGAGAGCTTGTTTTGGAGCCAAAATTAGGGATTTTGCTACGACCCGTGTATAAGTTGAGGGTAAATCTTGGGGGCATGTAACAAAAGATCTAAAGGGGGAAGCAAAGGAAAACAATGGCAAAGAACTTTTAAAAATTCCAGCAGACATAATAATAATAATAATAATAATAATAATAAAATTTATTTCTATACTGCCCAATGGTTACCCAATCCGGGCGGTTTACAAATTAAAACAATTACAATAACAAGATATCCCTCCCCCACTTAAAACAGTATTAAATAGTAATAGTAAACTGTTTGTGCTCATGCTAAAGGCTGGATGGGAGAGTAGAGGAGGGGTCATTGCTTCTAGGGCAGATTATTCTCTTGCCTTTCGCCAGAGGATGGTTCCTTTTTAAAATAAGAGTTAAACAGTACAGTTGGCCCTCCGTTTTCGCGGGGGATCCATTCCGGACCCCCACAAAAAGGGAGATTAGTGAATATTCAAGCCCCATAGGCTTGAATGGGGTCTGTGCCTGTGGGGGCACACCCCATTGATTTAAACTGAGGTTGCCTCTTCATTAATATGTAAAACCACAGAGTTGAAGTCCACGAGAATGGAGGAGCGACTGTACTTACATTGACCTGTGGATATGTTGACTCAGTTTTTTGAGACTAATTTTTTACTTAAAATTTCTAGACTTATACATGAGTATATACAGTACATTGAAATATCCCTGTGCCTGGATGCCATCAAAATTATTTATTTGCAGATATCTTGTGTTTCATGAGCATTAATGGGAAGCAATTTTTACATTGGTAAGAATTTAGCTGTCATTACTTTATCTGGACCTTATGTCACAGGGGAAATCCTGTGCAGAAAAGGGATTTAAAAGGTGGGGGAAACCCGCAAAAGCAGGTAGATTTTCACACACATTGCTGTTAAAGTGTGCTTAACCCAAATGGAAAGTAGTCAAAAACCTCCACTTTTTACTTTTTGGAATTTTCTGAAAGTACAGAGAAGTGGCTTTTGACTACCGTACTTTCTGTTCAAGTTAAGCACATTTTAACAACAATGTTGTCTGAAAATCTACCTGCTTTTGTAGGGTTTTTTTTCTACTTAAAATCCCATTTCTGCACGGGATTTCCACCGTGTGATAAAGGGCCTCGGCAGACGACTAATAGAGTTGTCTTCCGGGCCCAGAAGAGGAGGGGCAGCCGCACGTTCGGCGCCCCTTCCTCTCCTTGAGGTCGCCCTCGGAGTCGCCGGCCCTCCGCACGGCCGGCGCTCTGGGGATGACCTCACGCCGCGGCAGCCGAACGCGCCGCGGCGGAAAAGACAGCGAAAGTGCGCCCGCCGCTGTTAGTGCGCACTTTCGCTGTCTTGAGGAAGGAGCGCTGATTTAGCGCTCCTTCCAGGGTTGCCACCGGTGCGCCGAGGTGCGGAGGCTGCGGCCCTGCGGCGCACCGGCCCAGGGCGTCCTGGACGCCCTCGTCTGCTTCCCCCCAAAGTCTTCTGAGTGTTTTAACAGTTTGGGCTAAATTCCTTACACTGAAGTGGAAAAAACATAACTGAATGTACAAACAGAAAGACCACATTATTTCCCAAGGCCTAGAAAGACAATGGCAATAACTAAAATATCAGTAGAAAAGTCACAAAGAAATATGGGGAGTAATTGCCTTTGCAGACTGCCAGAAATAGTGCACATTAAATTGAGGCACTGCCCTGGCTCAGTGCTAGGGAATCATGGGAACTGTAATTTATTGTGGCACCAGAGCTCTCTGACAGAGAAGGCTCAATGTCTCAGAAAAAAAATACAATTCCCATGACTCCCTAGCAATGAGCCAGGGCAGTGCCTCAATTTAATGTGCACTATTTCTGGCAGTCTGCAAAGGCAAATTAATTGCTAATTGTACATTTTTTTTAATACATGTAAAAATGTTATCTATGGGTTTCTCTTTTATGAAATAAGGCAACAGATAAATGTAACTAACTTATAATATAAAGTAATTTAAAAGAAAAGAAAAAAGAAAGGCAATGACAATTCCTCTTGTTGCTTACAGTGGAAAGGAAAGGATTAGGGATCAGTCCTCTGGAAGAGCCTTGCCATTTCTAAGCTAACATTTTTACACAATTCCCAAGGATTATGCTAACTGGGATATTATTGGAATTGTAGTCAAAAAGAGTACATTTTCATATGTCGTATGAGGCAGATGGATAGTTGTCAACATGAGAGAAGCTAACCTATGGCCTCCAATTGTCCTGATGTGGCAGGGACAATCCCAGTCAATCCTCTGTCATCCAGTTTATTCCCCAATAAGACTTCACTACAGTCTTCCCTGAGGCAACATGGCATAGTGGTTTGAGTGTTGAACTACAACTCTGGAGACTAGGGTTCGATTCTCCACTTGGCCATGACCTTGGGCAAGTTACATGCTCTCATCCTCAAGGGAAGCCAATCTCACCTGGAATAATACTGTGTCCTGTTCTGTGCACCACAATTCAAAAAAGGATGTGGAGAAGCTGGAGCGTGTCCAAAGGAGGGCAACCAAA